GCATCTTATTGAGTATATGAGCATTGTACTTAGTATATTGTATGTAGCTTGGAGATTTAGATATATCATTCAGCACTTACGAGTTTTCAAAAGAAGAAAGGTGGGGACCCAGCCTGGGTATTACATTGACTATAATATGATATCATGTCCGAGGTATGTATACAGTTTATACGCTTGGGATGAAGGCTTCCAGTTGCCTTAACAAGTACATCCTAAGTTCTGATGGAGGCCATTAGTTGCCTTAGAAATATCCATCAGAGTGTGCACACGTATCTGATCAGATATCGACCATATTAGAGATTCAGTTTCAGTTACTGGAACAGATTTCCAGTCCAGATATATACCAACGATTATGATATTGTATTATTATTGTTTTTAACTTCAGTATGGATTATTTTGGGGTACAAAAGGACCAGTACTCACCCCCATTGTATTTTTCAGGTAACAAGGTCGGGCCGGAGGTGTGAGCTCGGATATGGTGGTGATGGCCGTGCACTTGTGGACATTTAATTTATGAACTACTATGTCTGTATAATTATTCACGTTTTTAAGTATTTCCGCTACGCATATCAAGACTTGAACTTGCATGTTATTAAATATCATATTTCAGACTTTAATCATTTCATTAGTATGAATATGGTTCAGTTTATATGCAAGTTTAAGTAAATCTGTTTTCTTTATGTCTAAACCAGTAAGTTAGACAAAGTTTAAAGATAAACAGATTTTAGAAAAGATAAGTTTGAGTAGCATCCCGAGTAAGAGCAAAAATATTTCGAAAAATAAGTATTTTCGAAGTAAAAGTTGCAAAAAATTTACTCTGATAAGCGGGGTGTTACAGGCGAGGTCGCGAGAGATTAGCTCACCTCGAGGAGATGTTATCAGACCACGGTGAGTAACAACAAACAACTGGCGAAGAGGCAGGTGAAGTTGGGGGAGGAGACACCAAGTCTACCTGGGGGTTCGTGGTCGAAGATGGAGAAGGTGAAGCCCGATAAAGGGAAAGAGAAGGCAGAGATGCAACCAGAGGGTGAGATAGAGGAGATTCAAATGATGGAGGGATGTGAAGAAAGGAGGGTTAGGATAGGGAAGGAATTGAAGGAGCCGATGAGGTCGAAGTTGAAAGGGTTGATAAGGGAGTTCGCGGATGTCTTTGTTTATATTGCGGAGGAGTTGTCAGAGATTAAGGGGGAGGTGACCGAGCAGAAGCTAAACATCGACCTTTACATGAGGCCGGTGAAGCAAGAGAGGAGGCATCATGGGGCGGAGATGGATAAGGTGATCGAGCAGGAGGTTGAGAAATTATTGAAGGCGGGTCATATTAAGGAGATCTAGTTCCCTGAATGGTTATCCAACACGGTGATGGTGTCGAAGTCGGAGGGCAAATAGAGGGTGTGCATCGATTTTCGTGACTTAAACAAGGCGTGCCCGAAGGATTTATACCCATTGCCAAGGATCGACCAGCTGGTAGATTCCACCGCAGGATGTGAGCTGCTCAGTTTGATGGATGTGTCCCAAGGATATCATCAGATCCCTTTGGCTCGGGAGGATAGGAAGAGGATGAGTTTCGTGACGAGCAGGGGAACCTATTGCTATGTGGTGATGTCGTTTGGTTTGAAAAATGCGGGAGCAACGCATCAAAGGTTGGTTGATAAGATTTTCAAGGAGCAACTCGGGAGGAATATGGAGATTTATGTTGATGATATGTTGGTGAAAAGCAAGGAGGAGCTCGACCATGTGAACGACTTGAGGGAAGCATTCTTGACATTGTGGAGATATGCTATGAAGCTGAATCCTTCTAAATGATCCTTTGTGGTGAAGTCAGGGAAATTTCTTGGATATATGGTGACGAAGAGAGGGATTGAGGTAAACCCCGAAAAGGTGCGAGCGATGATCAAGATGAAACTGCCTACAAAGGTGAAGGAGGTGCAGATCCTGACTGGTCAAATTGCAGGTTTGAGTCGTTTTATTTTGAAGGTGACGGAGAAATGTGTAATGCCCGGTGGGGTCCACTCTCTAGGCTGGCCCGCCGAGCCGCTAGTCGGTGGGGTGGCCTTGGCCCTAGGCCCACCGCTACTCATCATGGCCTTCTGGGTTGCTCTCTCCCAGTTTTTGCCCTCCCCTGGATTCGAACCCAGTACCCTGAGAATAAGGCACTAGTTCATGGGAGAGCTCATTGGTACCAGGATTCCCATGAACTAGTGCCTTATGATCAATTATCTTTCGTGATCTATTTTAATGTTGAACCGAAGTGGCGTACGTGACAATCTCTTAAGGAGGGTAGTCGAGCCTGATGCAGAGACGTCTTCGTTTTTTAAGCGTATTCATTATAAATTTTTGGAAACTCTCACCTTTTTTTTTCTCTTTGAAATTTTAAGAGTGACCTTTGGATTTTATTTGACTTTTTGGCAATCCTCTGAAAACTCTTGTTATTGTTTTGTTTGGAGTTTTCATTTCAAGATTTGCGACTTTGTGTATTGATTAAGACAAGTACTTTCGTTTTTCCGCTTGTCTTATATCATTCTTTCGGTTTTGTGATGCCTTTCGCTCTGGGTGTTCCATTCGTACCCGTATTGGTTTGTCGTGGCTCTTATTGTTGATGATTTATGTTCGAGACGTGATCGAGAGGAATCCACCAAGAAGGCTCTGTGATGAGATCCAGAAGTCGTAACAATCTTAGCAGCGTAGCATTTAAGCTCGTTTAGGACTACCGGCACGTTTAGCTACCGGTGAAAGAGCTGACGTGACGGCCGACACTATTAGTCGGAAGAGTCATGCGAACTGATCATTTTCATTGTTCGACAATGACCACTGAGTTGGGGATGATTCCTAGCTGAGGATGCCGATATTCTCTTTCTTTAAATGTGATGTTTTGAAAACCCTGAACCTTTCGAGCTTGTTAATGCCTAAATGTTGGGGGGTAATGTCTTTGTTGAACCCTAATGTTTCTTGGTTTTGTGAAAACCTTTTCTTTCGGGTTGCCACACATAGTGCGAGTTTTGAATTAGAGTAATTCTTATTGTACCTCGAACCGAACGCCGACACTGACTGGGTATAGTCACGCGAAGTGGTGGTCGAGCACGCGAGCCCGTGCTGAGAGATGTGAGGCACTGCAGGGCCGATCGTTGACTCGCATGCGAGCTGCAACCACCATCACCGAATGCAGGAGCTCCCCAAACCAGTGTGCAGCCGAAACCCTGACCTTCCAGCTGTTCTCTAAATAGATGTACATGCACGTCCCAGTGCCCCGCTTATGCAGTGTCAGTGTGTGTGACATCTCTCGGGTGACAGTGCATTTAACCCCGGATTGGCTATGTCCTTTTAGATCGTTATTGTGGGATCATCGAGCATCCTTATTTGAGAGTCTGTTTCTGTGATAGAAGTTTATTTTCGAATATCTAGTCGACACTTCCTAAACCTCAAACGAGCAGTTACTCGTGTCGGCAAGGAATGAGGCTTTGTCAGCGGTATCGAGCAGGACCGTGTGTTCTGAAGGTATCAGTTTTGAGGATGGTGCTTTTTATGTTTGTTAGCCATTTGTATGGTATTCCGTGGCGGGACGTCTGATACGGACACACGGATTCACATTAGGATCGTGGGCAAGTTGTCACCTTGACCCGGGCACGAGACTGAACTTGGCACCGCGTAGAGATCCAGATAGTTATGCGTTTAGGACATGCTGTCGAGACCCTGAGAGACTAGTTGGAGTCTGGTGTACTCGATAGGTATGTCGTGTGGAATTTCTTACCATGGGAAAGGGCGCTTATAGCGATGGCTAATAAGAGACGGTCTTGATGGTACCGTACGAGGTTCTGAGTACGGAAAGAGGCGTTGTACGCCTCGAGTTCTGGGAAGAGAGGAAGTATCAGCCACATTGTTGGTCCTTTTGGGGATTCTCGACCGATTCGGCGTCTTAGCCTGACGGTTGACCCCATCACCGGAGTTTGCGAGAGTGCACGACCTGTTCAGTGCCTCGTGGAGAGGGGACATATGTGTGACTCTGGGCACGTGGCGAACTTTGAAGAGTTGCATGTGGGCAGAACCTTACCTTTGATGAGGTACCGGTGAGCTACTGGATTGGCAAATCCATCAGGAAGGGTCCAGGAGAGGTACTCGTCAAAGTCCGGCGGGGTAACCGTGGCTAGTGCGGTGTGACTTGGTAGAGTAGGAAGATTCGGACGAAGTATCCGAGTTTAGTGGTTTGAGCTTCTCTCTTGTGTCAGTTGTCCTGTTGGGATGAATTTCTATGATTTTTGAGGACGGAAATCGTTTAAGAAGGGTAGACTGTAATGCCCCATTTAATTGTGATTTTATATTGTGGATTATTATTATTATTATTAATTATTATTTGCCAATTTGAATGTCTAAATATTATATGTCTAATTGTCAATTAATTGCGAACTGTATATTTTGATTAATAATATTAGTATTTTAGCAATAATGTACGTATTTAATTTATATTGTCTGGAGTTTTGTTTATTTATCGTGCGATCGATTTGAGCTGTCGAAATTAGTAATCGGAGAACCCGAGCCGAGAAGCCAATTTATTTTCGTGATAAATTATAAAATGTGTATAATGTGTATTAATATATATGTAAAATATATTTATTGTTCGATTTATTTTTATCGTGCGTTTGAACCGAAATCGAGTCCGTGAGCCGATTTTATGTCAAAGCCGGCCCAGCGGCTCCAAATCCGGCCCAACAGTTTTCAAACCCGGCCCATCAAGCTTAAAATCCGATTTTCCTTCTCCTAATTTGTGTGAGATTCTTGTGGGCCAAGACATTATTTTAACCTGTTCTATTGTTCACATATATATAAGTTGTATCTATATTTTTTTTTCTTCTCTCTCGAATTGCAAAAAGCCACAGCCAAATCCTTCTCCCTCTCTCCTCTGATATTTTTCCCCTCTTTTTCACGTAAACCGCAGCTCTCTCTTATCTCTCTCTCTCTCGTTTTTTGATTTTTCCGTCCTTCTCCATTAATCTCTCCACCGTGAGCCCTTATCCTCTACGAAGCGGCTGCCCTCCGCCGTCACGAACCAGAAGTCCCAGCAGCCCCAACGATTTTCTCTGTCGTTCCTCCGGCAGCGAGAAGTCCTCCACCCACGATCAGACCCACCTCCGCCGCTGCAACACGCCATCGCGATGAACCTCCGGCGAAGCTCCTTCGCGACCGACGACCAGACCCTTCACAGCCGCGACCCACCTCGCGACGCTGCTCCTCTGCGAGCCCTCCTCTCCTGCAGATCTCCGGTGTGCCACCACGAGCAAGAACCCGCAAGCTCCTCAGCCGCTGCAACTTCCGGCGAACCTCCTTTTCCCGGCGAGCTCTCCTCCTCCACAGCACCACCTCCGACGGGACGTCTCGGCCATCGCTGCAACCCCGCCATCGTGAAGGCCCACCGCAGCTCTCTTCTCGGCGAGCCGCGCGAAGCCGTCGAGCCCCATCGAGCCGTCTTCTTTCATTCGAACCTTCTCGCTCGTTTCCCGAGAACGGTATCGAGTCTCGACTTCTCGTTCAAACCTTCTCGCTCGTGATCATGCGTGTATTTCGTGTTCATTGAATTATTACATGCGTGTTCGAATTGTTCGTTGTGTATTTATATTCGCTATTTTATGTGAAACTCGTCGATTCGTACGAATCGAACGAGAACTGGTTATAAGAGATTAGTTGCTGTGGATTTAGGGACTTAGGATCGTTACGAACACAATGGCGTTGACCTTGTGTCGTTGAACTTGTAAAGTTGTAGTTATGATTTTTCGAAGTTTATAATTGTTGTTTCGAATGTAAAATTCACCATAAATTGAGTACTGGTCCGATTGCCATGAAATTTTAGGTGCAGCTGTTTTTGATGAATTTGTAACTTGTGTAAAATTTTCGTGATTTTGGAAGGTCCGGAGCTATTTTTAAAAATTAATTTGATTTCTGTTCAGTTTCTTGTAAAATGCATAAATAATTTTGTGGTGCTCCAATTTGGCTAATTTTCGAGTATTATATGTCTCTATTATATTTATGTGTTGTATAAAATTTTTACAATAATTTAATTGGTGTTTCTGCTCAAATTTGTTTTAATTGTGATAAATTGGTCTGAAGCTGAAAAATTCCAGTTTTTGGTTGAGATGCTCACTCTGTGATGTTTTGAATGCTGTAAAAATATTGGAATTTATAGAGATCGCTTAGGTTCAGTTATGATGGAAATTCGATAATTGGCTAAATGTTGTTTTATTTTTATAAATTCACATATTGAGTGTTTAAGGTTGATATTTTTTACTTGTTGTTGTCCATACGTTGTAGTTTCTTAGAAAAACATTTCATGGGCTGAATCGTTCTTTATCATGTGTTTCTAATTTAGGCTCGTTTTTATCCAAAAACTTGTTTGAATTTTATAAAATTGAGTATAACGAGTTTGAGGCTGAAACTTGGTGTTTTTGCTAAATTCTGAGAGGTGAATTTTATGTAAACTTTCCAGAGCCTAACTCATTGGTTTGATATACTTTCAAATGCAAGTGTGAATTTTGACAATTATTTTATATGGTGATTTTTGGTCAAGTGTTGGTGATCACATCTCGTTATGAGTTACCTGTGACTCGTGTGCTTTCCTTTCATTTGGGATTATGTGAACTTGAATATGTAGTTTGATCGAGTCTAAGTCCTAGTGTCCCATATCCACAGAACTTCACGAACCACTTGGTCGAATCAAGTTCGGCTAAGTCAATTTGTGAATTTTCTACTTAGGTCTAGATTAAAGTGTTAACTTTAGTATTTGTACTTAATGTAGGTGTCTAGAGGTGTTGACCTCGTCTTACTTTCGTGATTCGTGATTTGAGTTGTTGCTGCAATCAGGTGGGTACATTTATGATGTATTTCATATTCATCGCATTTATTATTTCGTGTAATGTTTTCTTTTGAAAATTATTGTATGCATGAGAACTCTAGTCTAAGTATCCCGAACGATAGTGCCTTTGATGAATGCGAAAGCAGTGGAAGTCGCCTGCCCGTTGCATCCGGGAGGTGGACGCCCGAATCCGTATTGAGCGGAGGGGATTGTCTGAATACTCGAATCCGTGTAGAGCGGAGGGGTAATTCAACTTCAATGTCTCCTGGAAAGGATCCTATGTGCCGTTGTATCCGAGGGTGGGAAGGTTTCTAGTTATAGCCATGCCGTTGTATCCGGAAGGTTGTTGTATGTACATAGGAGGTTTGCGATAGGGTTTGGGTAGGGGGTTTAGGCTATGAATTCTATGCATGCGGATACTTATACTTATACTGATTATTGTGATGCTGCTTTTAAAATACTTATACGGGATAATTGTGCGATAATAGTGAGCTAGTTGGTTGCTCACCCCCATTGTTTTCCTTGTTGTGTTTCTCATCCTTTGTTCTAGGTTGAGACGAGCTGGAGGCGGTGGCGTAGGACAAGCGAGATGGTGGTCATTATGTGTTGATGTCTTATGCTTCCGCCTGAACTTGCTATTTATTTATTTGCTATCGTACTTTGGATTATTTATTTCTTCGCTTTCGAACTTCGTTGGGTTTCGTTGAACCTTGATTTATGCTAGACGTTTGGGATTGATTTTTAGACTTATGTACTTTTATGGGATTGTTTATTTTAATAGCTCGAGCATGTGTAGGTTCTTTGAATTGTTGGATTTGTCTTGTTTGCTGTTGTTAGTAAATAGCGCCCGTTTTTTTGATAAATGTTTTAATTTGGATTTAAATAAAAAAAAACTCTGATTTTTATAAATAAATTCGGTAATTCTTTAAAATAAAATGGGGCATTACAATTGGTGTCTGACAATGGAACACAATTCAATGGCAAGCGGATTCGAGCATGGTGTGAGGACATGAAGATCGAGCAACATTTTGCATCAGTAGCTCATTCGCAAGCTAATGGGCAAGTCGAGGTGACCAACAGGATCATATTGAACGGCCTCAAAACGAGGCTGGAGAATGCGTCGGGGGCGTGGGTCGATGAGCTTACTTCCGTACTTTGGGCATACCGAACAACGCCTATGTCGACAACAGAGGAAACACCATTCAGTATGGTCTATGGCATGGAGGCACTGCTGTCAGTCGAGGTCGAGATGCAGTCCCAGAAATCGAGCACGTATGATCAAGAGCAAAATGAAAACCTGACGATGGCAACCCTTAAAAAAATTGAAGAACTCCAAGAATGAGCTGCGATCAAGGTCGAAGCATACAAACAGAGGATGCGAGCAGCACATGATAGGAAAGTGAAAGTTAGAAGATTCCAAGTGGGTGACTTGGTGTGGAAAAGAGTGGATGTGCTGAAATATGTCGGGAAGCTGGAACCGAATTGGGAAGGACAATACCTGGTCGAAAAAGTCCATGCCAGAGGAGCATACTCGCTCAAATACACTGAAGGAAGGTCACTCCCCAGGTCATGGAATGTGGCTAACTTGAAGAGATATTATGCTTAATTTTTTTTCTTTTTCAAAAAATTTTCGAAGCTAATGTAATCGACTTTCCCACTTTTGATTAATGAAACTTCAGTTGCAGGCTCCATAATTTGTTCAAATATCGACTTATTTTACTTGGAATATTTGGAATAACCCCAGTGGCAGGTTGCATGGAGTAAAATCCATGATGATTAAGGCTGAAAGGCTGGATGGTCGCATGTATCGACCACCTCTTTGAAGGTGGGAATGTGTTCAAGGGAGTAAAATCCATCATGATTAAGGCCGAAAGGCTGGATGGTCGCACATATCGACCACCTCACTGAAGGTGGGCATGTGTTCAAGGGAGTAAAACCCATTAAGATTAAGGACGAAAGGCTGGATGGTCGCATGTATTGACCACCTCTCTGAAGGTGGGCATGTGTTCAAGGGAGTAAATTCTATCATGATTAAGGCCGAAAGGCTGGATGGTCGCATGTATCGACCACCTCTCTAAAGGTGGGCATGTGTTCAAGGGAGTAAAACCCATCATGATTAAGGCAGAAAGGTTGGATGGTCGCATGTATCGACCACCTCTCTTAAGGTGGGCATGTGTCCAAGGGAGTAAAATCCATCATGATTAAGGCCGAAAGGCTGGATGGTCGCATGTATTGACCACCTCTCTGAAGTGGGCATGTGTTCAAGGGAGTAAATTCTATCATGATTAAGGCAGAAAGGTTGGATGGTCGCATGTATCGACCACCTCTCTTAAGGTGGGCATGTGTCCAAGGGAGTAAAATCCATCATGATTAAGGCCGAAAGGCTGGATGGTCGCATGTATCGACCACCTTTCTAAAGGTGGGCATGTGTTCAAGGGAGGAAAATTCACTGCGAGTAAAGGCGTGAGCCAGGTCGTTGATAAATGTGGGATCAATGTTTGGTGACAGAGTAAGTTCATAAACAATGAAGACAATATACAGGGTGAAATAACAACATCCAAACGAGCGGAAAAATAATAGGAAAATCCAACAAAAATCAACAAGAATAGCATTCAATCATTCAACAAAAGAGAATACAAGTTCAACCAAAAATAAATTACAACATCACTTAAGGAGCGGGATTATCGGGATTAAGAGATGATTGTTCGGGATTGGCATTAGGATCAGGTGGAGCCTACTCGCAGATAAGCTCAGGCTGCTCGATCTGTTGGCTAAAGCCAGAAGTCGATTCGGCCATGTCTGATAAGGGTCATAGACGAATAGACTCATACATGGCCTGCCTCATCGAAGTGGGGGGCGTTACACCGTTGGGCAGCATGAAGTTCTTCTTTAGAATATCGGCGCGACTTAAGGTGCGCTCAAGGAAACCTGACCACCACTCATGATCGAGTGGCAAGTCAGGATTGCCTTGGAAACTCTTGGGTACCTTTGGCATGGCATCCCAAATGGCAGCCACGTCGAGCTCCTCAAACTCATCCTCGATAATCTGTTCGCCTGCCTTGGCTAAGGTGAACTAAAAGCAATCGGCACCAAATTCTTGCACCTCCTTCAAAAATAGTGGTGACCACATGAAACCGGCCACCACCTGCTCACGATGCTCTTGGAGGAAGAGTTGCCCAACTTTGGTGTACCACACCATCTGGTGAGCACGGAGAGCGGCGAGGTCAGTTAGGCGTTCTCTTGGGCTTGAGTAGCCCTTTCAGCGTCGAGCGCCTCTGCCAAAGCCTTTTTCTCCTCCTCGAGGGTCTGCTTTTCTCCCTCGAGGGCCTTCGCCCGTAGTGCTTCGATCCTTCGCTGCTCACGAAGCTCGTGATAACAAACGGTATCCTGATTAACTTTGGCTGCAGAACGTCGATCCCCTTCTCGAGCTTGGGGATCGAGTGCCCTGCACTGGTCACAGTCTGGTCGACCAGAGGAATAAGATCGACCCTACACATGTCATAAAGAAGAGGAGTTAAGAAATGGAAATGAGCAAGAATAAAATGGAAAGAAAGATACTGAGGAAAATTGAGAAGTTACTTGTGCCAGCCAACACGCGTGGTGATAACACCGGGTTTGCAAATCCAAACTATCATCGTTGAGGTCGGCAGCAGGAACAATGTCTCGGAGATAGGACACAAGTTCTTCCTGGCCGACCTTGACCAGAGATGGAGGAGCAGAAAGAGAGACGGTCGCAGCTTTCTCTAGGCAGGGACATTTTTTGGTCCCCTCATTTCCCTCAGCTAAAGGACGTTTGAGTTGTGTGTGCTCGACCAAATGAGGGTTTTGGAAGGTAGGCATTTCGATCACCGGAGTGGTCGAGCCGGCAGATGGAGTGGTCGGTTGCGAATGGTCAGGATGCTTAGGGTGCTCTTCTATTGGGATGTCGGTCAAGGAACGTAAGGATTGTTCCTCGATAACTGGCTCTTGAATGGGCACGGCGCGATTTTCGACCTCTATGAAGGAGGTCGTATGGTCGGGCTGTGGGGTGGCCGAATGGTCGGGCGGCGACGCAGAGTCGGATGGTCGTGAGCCGGAGGCTTGAGCAGACTTTTTCTTAAGAGGAGCTTTCCTCTTCATAACAGGAACAACAGTCATCTCTGTAAAGGAATGATAACAACAAGTTAATACCACGATAACCCAATTAAGTCCAAAAATAAACACAACAATATTCCAGCACATTACGCAAGGATTACCTGGGTCACCTTCTATTTGAATAGAATCGAGGACTTCTTGGGTGGGAGGAGATAGAGATTTGTGGGTAAGAAGGCCGCAAAAATGTAGAAGGTTGTTATTTTCAAGAAGGGTTTTGGAGACGACTAGTTTAGCATTCCAAACAGCAATGCGATGCTCAAAAAGTCGTTCGTACTCAGGATTTTCGAGCTCGAAAGAGAGTGACGTAAGCTAGGGAGTGGGGGCCCACTGAAAAGGGGTGCCGGGCTCGACATACACGAATTTCGTTTCCACTTTGGGCAGTTAAAAGGAGTGTCAGAAATGAAGTGGACACCGTTGCGGCTTTTTAGGTAGAGCCCTTGGGCCTGTTTTGAGGATGTTTAGCAGTAGTGGAAAAAACTTAGGTTGAATCGACCTAATTGAATATGGGAACGGATGATGAAGATGGTAATGAAGTGAATAGCATTTGGGGGAAGTTGATTTAGAGGAAGGTCGAACCAACCGCAGATGTTGATTAAGTTCTAGCACAGAGGAAAACGCATCCCAAGTTTAAATTGGGCCTCGAAGAAGGTATAGTTACTCTCTGGAGGGTGGTCGTAGGTGTCATGGGAGCGGGGAGAGGTGAAGCCCCAGCCAGAAGGATGGCCGACATCGTCGGCATCTAACCATCCAGCGACTATGGGAGAAGAGCCCCTCCTAGAGGAGGAGGCCTTCGTCGATTTCTTCTTGGGTGTTGATTTGGAAGAAGTGGCGGCAGTCAAAGATTTGGATTTGGACTTAAAGGTGGCGGCTGTTTTATGTTTTCTCGAAGAAGGGTGTTTGGAAGGAATAGTACGTCGGAAAAGAGGAACCTGATCCACTTTTATCGTGAGCTGCCTCGGCAGCATCGAGATCTGCTTCAGTAGCATCGGAGGCACCAAAGACCGGTCGGCGACGACGAGTAAGAGGAATATGGTCGAAAGTGTCCTCTTCTGATTCATCAATCAGATGATGGGATTGAGGCAGAGGAGAAGGTGTGGAATAATCAGAAGGGCGAAGCACGTTAAGGGGAACAGCATGGTAAACCTCTTTGAGGGAATTTGATGGAGAATGGGGAATAGATCGGCGAATGGGAAGGATGATGGGGTAGTCATGTCCTTGCCGGAATGACGGTCGTTCTCATTGGAAGTAGCGGAATCTGAAAAATAAGGGAAAATAGATGTTCAAGGGAAGACCTTTAGGGTCTTTGAAGATGAACAGAGAAAAAAAAGAAGGAAGATTTTGTGGTTAGGGTGTGAATTAAATTTTAAAAAATCGACAAATCAGAAAAACCAAAAATTAACAAAGGTAACACACAAAGATAAAGTACAGAGGACTTACTCATTGTCGTGGTGGAGAGAAGGTCGCCGAAAAACTTGGAGACGATGGGAACCGAAAACACCGAGAGTAGGAAAGCTTGATTTGCAGAGGGAGAAATTAGGGCACAAGAGGACTCAAAATTTGCAGAGGTGAAGAATAAACCGAAAAATCCTAAGTGTGGATATTTATATGTGATAAAAAAGATGGGAGGAAGTGTTAATGGTGATAGCCGTTAGATTAAAGTGAACTCTAACAGCGAGGAGAATTTAAAGAGCGCGAATAACGAAGAGGTGCGGATCGCGAGGAGGTGTGATGATTGACGTGCCTGACAAATGGGACGCGTGGCAGAATAAAGTTGCATTAATAATGAGGGGAAAAGAAAGATGGTTGGAAATTTACCACAAAACCAGCTAAGTGATCGAAGAATACAAGTAAAAATAGCCAGATGGTCGAGGCGTCAACAAACCGGGGAGGCGAAAACAAATTCACTCTTAGATCGAGTCATTTAGACTCGACCAGAATGTGGGGGACTAGATGATATGGGATATTATACACCTAAAGGAATAAACCAATTCACTACGCCGGTCATATGAGCCTAATGCTGGAAAGGCCACGCTGGTCGAGCAATAGCAGGTTGTAACGTAGTGGTCGAATATTGTGACAGATCTGGTCGAAGATCGACCTACTGAATGAGATCATTGGATCGACCACCCCGAGAGTTAACAACAATCGGGAGCGTGATCCAGACGTGAGGAAGCACGTGGGCCTCCTAGGGAATTTTCAAGGAATATTCAAGGGAATAATTACCCCATGTGCAGAGGACACATGGCGAGGATATATTGGCGCGCAGTGATAGTGGCGATAACCACCTATGACACACACATACTATGTGTGTACGGACGGGCAGATCTGGGAAGCTTTGGGCAGACAGCTTATCAAATCCGAGCAGCTCTTAGGGCCGGTATCTCACCCCTATATATATGTGGGTGAGCCTTTCTTGTTACTCACGATTTATCCATTTTTACTCTTGAGAATTGAGTAGAACAAACACTGACTTAAGCATCGGAGGCTCTTCACTGGAAAATCCCTCCGGTGTGAGAGTTCTTCGCAGGTACGCGGCGTTCTAGCAGCGCGGAGGAAGAAGGCGAGCGATTTCTAGCCGGTAGGAGTGTTTTGCGTTGCCATGTGCGATCAACATCGAATCTGGATTCCGAATTGCCTTACTCGAGAGATCGACCTGGGAAACGAATCCTTCGATTCGGTACTCAGTAAAAATAATTTGCTACAACATCTA